GTCTAATAGCGCAAGAATCTTCGAGTCTCTTTCGGGATCCCTTGTATGATTGAGACCTGTAGATGGTTGGCTTTCCTCATCTCTATCCTTTACTTCCGCCGTCTAACAAGACACTACATCAATATAAGCTTCATTGAAGTACTTTCGAGGGAAGAACTCATCTAGCGTGATTGGCATCCAGGGCTATACTTCTTCACGAGGGACAAGTAGGGTGCGTCGCTTCCTCGTCCTTTTTATTTCTTCTGCTTTTCTAAGACCTTTCCTTGTTTTTTAGTGCTTCTTAGAAGGCTGTGAATTGAATGTAGTCGACTTCCTTACCTTCCTCCTTGTTACCAACGTCCACCCTTCCTCCTCCTCTTCATACGGTGATGGAGTAGGATCTGAATGTAATGTTGGGCTGAGCTTCATTACTTGTATCATTACTGGCTCCAAGCATCCGAACTGGATGATTTGTGCATGTCATTCACATGGTGAAGAATCCACAGCGACTGTGGTATGATTGGATCCTACTGTCTCATCCAAATCTAACACAATCCTTCCTTCTTTCACGAGCCTCATTATTTTCTCATTGAGAGTGATGCACGCATTTTTCAAGGGAATGACCTACCAATCAATGGTATCGACAATAGTTTGGATCAGGCGTTCTACCCATTAGCTCAGGGTGTTTAGACTCAGGCGGCTAGATGATCTTTTTCTCGAGCAAGTCGTCTAGCATTCCTGATAAATCTGAATCTGGAAATGGGTACTTTTTTTCCTGCAATTCCTTTAGGGTGGGCCCTTCTCTCTTTGTATCCTTCGAACAGGACTCCTTCTTTTGTTTGCTCTTTGGCTTAGCAGAAATCTTCACTGGAGCAGACGTGGTGGAGACTACCAATGACTCTTTCGTAGGTTTCTTGCCGATCTTTTCCGTCTTCTATTAAAATTATTCTTTTCTTTCTTGACGAAATCCGAAGAACTTGTGCCACGGCTCGAGATGCTTATCTCCATGTCGTGGGCTCGAGTTGCTAGTTCTTGAAAGGACCTCGACTTTATACCTTGTAGGATGTACAACAAATCCCACTTCATCCCATGGATACACATTTCAACGGAAGAGGTCTCTGACAGACAGTCTTTGAATTCTAGACTTAAAGCTCTCCATCAACTGATGTAATCCAAAACTAGATCATCTTCCCATTGTTCAGTCTTGGTTAATTCGGTTATGCTGACTATGCGTCGTGTGTAGTAGAATCTCTTCTTGAACTCTTCCTCCATGTCATCCCAACTATCGATGGACTCTCGAGGCAGATCAATGTACCAATCAAACAACGGACGAATTGTTTAACAAGTAAGTCTCCTGCAATTCCGGCGTTGTTGCATGTCTCGATAAAATGAGCGATGTGCTGCTTAGGGTTGCCTTTCCCATCGAATTGCTAAATTTTGGGGGTTGATAGCCTTTGGGCATCTTCAATTTGCTAATCCTCTTGCTATATGGCTTCTCATACAACTTCTTGTCGCGAGAGCTTTCTCCAAGTTGGTTCTTGATAGCATTTGCTATCATATCCTAGATCTTGTGGATGGTGAATTTAGACTCGCTTTTAGCACTCAATTCAAAAGCGTCTCCGATCCATTAGAGTCTTCTTTTTCTTCTTCTTCTGAATTGCTTGCTTCTTTTGAATGTTTTTTCAAGCTTTTTGTATAAAGAAGAGATCTTCTCATTTTGCTGCTTGATCTGCTCATCCTTTTCTTCTCCATCCTTCATTAACTTTTGAAGCAGGCCCTTTAATTCGGCGAGCTGTTCCTCGACAGTCTTGGATTCAATCATCATAACTGCAGCAATGTTTGTCGGTGATGATTGAGACAACTCCATAATATCATATTTTTGTCGTGGAGTGGAGGGAGACGAGGCACCACTGCTTTCTTTATTTCCTTCGTCGAATGCATCGAAAAGCGGGCTGGTATGGATAACCAACTTCTCAGATCTGGCAGGTGGAGTCCTCTCCAAGTCGTGTGTAGAAGCGGAAGGTTCACCTTCAGGAGGAGGGGATGAGACGAACACCGGGATCTCATGAGAAGTGCAAAAAAGACTTGGCGAAAGTGACAGATCCGAGGAAGAACGTCTACGGAATCTCGTGCTTGCCTTAGTGGGAATAATAGCAGTTCGGAGTTTCGCGGCAGCTTCCTGAAATCCAGCCCTCTTCATTCCTCTAGTGCGCATGCTGTCGACCTTGAATAGTACAGCCAACTCCACAGCCCTTTGCTAAGCAAACGTGAGATCCTTAGCGGCGGATTAAGAGGTGTTTATGTTTGAAGCCATTGTTGAAGACTTGACGTGGAAAGGAGATGAGTGGTAATGATTGTCCCACCGAGCGTGCCAAAAATTTGTAAACACAAATTTTGAGTCTGCAAAATAAATAGTCAAAATAAATGCAACAAATATAATTTTTATTAATATAATAATTTTTTAGTACAATCTCTAATATAATCCACTGATTCGATCTCCACGCTATGTCGTTCGATGACTCGATTTGTTGGTGTCGAAACTCTAACTTGATTTCCTTGATAGAGGGCCGAAAAGGCTTGATCTCGATCAAGGTTTGTCTTCTAGAATGGAAGAACACGCCTGATCCGGTGCTTGTTGTTCTTCTTCTAGCTCTTAAGATTGTTTTTTTAGAGAAGCTTTTAGAGAGGGTTTTTGGGTCTAGAGAGGTTTTTCTGTAGACAGGTTTTTCTCTAGATGTTTTATGTGTGTGAAATGAGGGAGGAGAGCTCTATTTATAGAATTCTCTGAAGCTAGGGTTTCAAGATGACCACTAAATGGGCCTCATATCCATTTCCACCTCATTTTATGAATAACCCATTTAAATTATAAATAAATCCAATTTGTTGGACTTTATTATTAATTAAATGAGTCTAACTAAAATAGATAACATGGGCTAAAGTAACCCAAATTAATTATTTAGTCAATATATACGAGTCAATTGTTTGACTTTGACTCGAATAATATGTAACGACACTTAATAAAATTTTCGTGCCTACAACTGGCACAGGATGATTTCCTATATTGGACTTCTCATCCGACAGGGAAATTCACAGTTAAAACAGGTTATGCATTTTTGCAAAATAAGTCCGTGGAGGATCGTGATTTTGTTCATTCTACCTTGGATAAAAAAAAAATTGAGTTTTCTTTGGAGGGCTCCTATTTTACCCAATGGAAATTATTTGTCTGGAAACTTGTGCACAATGATATAGCAGTTAAGGCTAATCTATCTCGTAGAAGTTTGCAGGTTGATTTGGAGTGTGATTATTGTGGTTCTTTGACTGAGGATTCTCAACATTTGTTTCGTTTTTGTAGCTTAGCTAAATACGTGTGGAGTAACTCTCCATTAAGTATTAGCTCTGAAATTAATGAATCCACTTCTTTACCAAGGTGGATTCAATCTCATATCCTGCTTTTTTATAGCAAGGATGGACCTAACAGCACGACAGTACCCGAGTGCAAATATTTTTTGCAAAGAATGACAGAATTTTTCAGCAATGCTTATGGCTATGCTGGTCTGGTTCTTCGTCATATTAATTTTGGTTTGAACCAAAATTACCTTTCTACTAGACCTGATATCAGGTCTTTGGGCACCCTCCATATCCCATCTCAGGATGTTCTCTGTCCCCTGGTTTCTTGTTGGCGCAAATAAGGAGGTTACAACTTCAGCCAAATATCCCGAGGAAATATTACATTCAGGTGGATGGGTCATGGAAAAAGGAAAATGGGAGAGGTGGAATAGGGTGGTTCTATTCTACGGACTCTGTTTCTTTTAATGTGGGGGGAAGCTAGGCAGGCTTATACTCTTTGGCTTTTCATACGGAAGAAGATGCGTGTCTTCTAGCACTGCAGGGTGCTCGTCAGCAACAGTGATCCAACATCATAGTTATGACGGATTCCGAAGTTCTGGTTCGCATTTTAACTACAAATGCTAAGGGAGAAATTGATACTCTTTGGACGATCAAGGCAATCTGGGAAATTGGTAAATATTTTGATATCTGCTATGTCGTTAAGGTAGGAAGGGATTAGGTGCAACAGGCACACGACCGGGCTAATGATAGTCATGTTTCATTTCCTGTTATTTAATTTTGTTTTTCGCTGTAATATATATAAAAAAAAAAAAAAAAAAAGCTAATTCACGTCAATTTGAGAGATTCTCAGAGAGAAAAATGATTTTCATAGGTAATATACGTCATTAATAATGGTAAATTCAAATGTATAATAATAGACACCAAGGTGAAAAACTATAGAGACATCAAAGAATTCACTGTACATAAAAATTGATATGAGTCTTTTCCATATAAAAAAAATCTATCATAAAAACATATTATTCTAGAAACAAAGTAGATTTGTTGTTAAAAAAGAAGATATCAATTTTCCAACAAAAAACAAAGAAAGAAGATATATATCAATGTATATGCAATTAATTAAATGAGTTGTATAATCGAAAAATGAGAATATGTACTCAATTTAGCATGAAGAAGAAGAAGATATCCTGCAATTATTTCTAAGGTGATACGAGTCAATCATCCATTTCGGGTATCTTACTGAACAAAAATAGTGACATCATTCCTCAATTTATTAAAAATTTCAATTTCTACAACACAAAATGATCATCCACATTTATTTTATCCTCTATTCTCTCGCATCTTTTTAAGTAGTCTCTATAACGACAAAGAGTCTCCATTCAATGTTAATTCTTGTTTGTTTGACGCTTTTTCACCTTTTTTTAGAGAGAAAAATTAGTTCACATGTCAATATACATTAATCATGGTAAATCTAAATGTATAACAGACACCCGACTTAAAAAACTAACACTGTAATTATAACACAAACATCAAAAACCTCCATCTACACTTAGCCCATAGTTTCAAACACCATATTCTCTATTCCCTCACATCTTTTTCAATGATCCCTAGCTATAGCGCCAAAGTATTGTCATTTATAGCTTATTCTTGCTTATTTCACTCAATTTCACTTTATCACATTGGAAAGTGAATTCAAATGTCAATCTATACCATATCGTTAACCACGATTAACCCGAATATATACCCATAGTAAAACTGAATGCATCATTGACCATGGTAAACCCGAATGTATAAAATACACCCGATATAAAAAGCAAACACAGTAATTAGGACACAAACCTCGAAAACCTCCACCTACACTCCCCCAGTCCACAGTTTAAAACCCCCCAACCAGCCGCTCCCTTTTCTCTCTCCTCCACACTTCCATGGCGTCCTCTTCAAAACTCACCAAAAATGACATTCTCTCTCCTCCACAACCGCCGCCACCTCCACACCACCCACCATTGAAGAAACCTTCCGACGCCATTAACAAGAAACGAAAGCTTCACACCTCAATCACCTCCGATAACAGCGACATTCTCTCTCCTTCAATGGAAGACCTCGCCCTCTCCAAATCCTCCCACCTTACTCACCAGGAACTCCTCCGCCGTCGTCTCCACCGTTTACGGCGACTCTCCGGTGTTTACAGAGACCATTACTGGGCTTTAATGGAGGATCTTAGGGTTCATTATCGGGAATACTACTGGAAGTACGGCATTAGTCCTTGCAAAGAGGAGGATGAGAGAGAAAGTGGTGGCGGTGATCGGGAATTTGCTGGGTTTAATGCCGAGGGTTGTGGCGAATCCAACAATATGAATAATAACATTACTATTAATAGTAGTGTTACGAATAATCATAGCAATTGCCCGGTTTCGGGGACCGGTGGCGGCACCGGTAGCGTGAAATTAGGGTTAGGGTTTGGGGGTGAGAGTGTGGCGGAATTCAAAGTGGCTGGAAATAATCGGTGTGCGTATGTTACATGTAGGTTGAAGGCTATGGCTTTAACTAGCTTTTGCTATTTGCATATATTGTCTGATCCTCAGCAGAATCTTTACAAGGCTTGCAACTATATTATTAAGATGTAATTCTCTTTACCCTTCTCAAAATTTTGGTTTTCTGTTGATTATTTGATTTGATTTGCTAATTGGGTTATAATTTGTTGATTGATTGATCAATTTTTTAGCTAAAGTATAATGTTTGTTGTGATCATAGTGTCATGGTTTGAATTTTCGGATTAGTAGTGCTGATTTTGACTAGCTAATTATGTTACACTAGTTGAAGTGATGGTTTTTAACTAGCTAATTATGTTGGTGATGTATTGTTGCGGGTGAAAAGGCTCGTTCTTGACATTTTATAGGCCTTGGTGAAACAATGAACGAGGGTTCCTTGTGTTAGTATTTTAGAGTGTATACACATAGCTTTAGTGAATATTACTCGTGCTACGTTATCAAAGGTTCTAAGGGAAGGGGAAAGAAAAAGGGAGGGGGATAGTGGACCTTCATTTTCCCTCCAAATCTCTCCACTTTTGGAAGGATAATGTTTATTAAAAGGGGAGGGAAAATGAATCTTCTATCCATTGTCCAAACAAGGTGATTTGTACCCCTCCCTTTCTCTTTCCTCCTCTCTCTTCATTTCCTCCCACCCAAACAATGTGTTAGGATCATAACTAGTTTTTGATGCCATGCCAAGATCTTAGTCATGTAAAGAAGAGAGAGAAATAAGAGATGATAAACAAAATTGGTTGTAATTGCAGTGAAATTAGTATTAGGGGAAGCAATGTCAAGTTCGTGACTTTACTCATTTTCTTTATCCATTGTGGATTTTAGTGTGCTTATTGATATATTTGCAATTAGTATCCCCAAATTGAGTGATAAATATAGCACTTTATACAAGTTGTTTTAGGTTTGAGAGTTGTCAAATATGATGCAGTGTCATGTTAGTGGCATGCCATTGCGAAGGTGGGTTGACTTGGCAGGATTTCATGAAAAGCAATGCCCCTTTTCAATAGATAGATTGATAGACAGACGGAAAATCGTAGGAATTGATGTTTGATTACACATTGCATATAACCTGTAACACTGTAAGAGAAATGAAGGAGAAATATTTTGTAAAGTGTTACCTTATTTAAAGATTAGGAAAGGAGATATAAATCTCTAATAAATGCAGCAAATATGATTTTATGGAAATGAAATCTTTTCGTACCTCGGGGTATGATGTGTCTTCAAACCACCAAAAAAAAGAGGGAAGGCGGAGAGTTAAAATTGATGGAGTGCATTTAGCTATAGATTTTTTTTCCCTTTCTAACCTTCCAAAAACTATCTGGCTTTAAATTATTGTGCCCCAATCATTGATGGGCCCACTCTGGTGGCAACTCCCTCCTAACCTCATGATCAGGCCTTAATAAAATAGTGATACTAAAATGACAACTTGTATTAATTGTATGGAGGAATGTAGAAACATATGAAATAGCATCTTTGGGTATACTCCCTCCCTTCGGATTTTATTGTCATATGATGAATTAAATTATAAGCATGACTAATATTTGGACAGTGGAAGTGTTTTTGGAATTACATTACTAGATGGGGTTTTGTGCTTGTCAAATGAACAGTTCTCTTTAACTATTTGTTTTGTTATATCTAGCATCTTTACAAAACTGTTATATCTATTAGTATTATGAAGTTTATAACAAATTCCAATTAATCGAATGATGCTTACAGATTTTTATTTTTGTATATATTCAGTGCACAGCAAGGACCAATACTATGTGGGAGGCCAATACTGAAATCTACCGTTCCCTCACTGTGTAATATCCACTTTCCAAAGGCTCAGAAAGATGTTAAACATGCCTTGAAGAAAGCAGGTTTAAATGTTTCATCATCTAGTAAACTTGCTCCCAAGTTCCATGTTATCATAGCAGAGTATGTTAACCTTATACAATCAAAAAGGAGGGCAGCTCAGAAGCATAATGGCAAGAGTGTCGTTGTAAAAGAAGAATCAGCATGCTGAACTCATGCTGTAGATCTCAGTTAGGTAAAGATTTTGATTTGAATGCCCAATCTTATCTTAAGGAGACTTGCCATCATGCTGTAAGGAACATTGGCATACCCTCGAGGTACTCTAGGGTTTTCTCAATCTTTGTTCTTGAGATCTACCTGGGTTTCTTCTTTTGCCTGAGAATTGCTGCTTGTTCTTGAGAGCATTTTATACAAGTTAGCCTTGCATAGTTTTGCTGCCAGTGTTTATTATGTGAGGTTTTACCTTGTTTTTGTTCTAATCTTGTTGTTTAGACCTACAGTTTGTACATATGTAAGTTTATTGTCTGTTGTATGTAGAGTTAAGTTAACATTTTGCGAAAGAATTAGATATATCTAGTCAGATTCTGTAGATTTTGGCTAAATAATTACGTAGTAGTTCACCCTTTTTTATACAGTCCGTTTGATTAATGTTTGTTGGTGATAACGCTTTTGTTTGGTTTAGTCCTTTTAGGCGTCCTTCATTCCTTCTTTTGTCTTTGTAACCTATAAGTGCTTCAAAAGTCTTGAAATTTCTTGGTCTTTCCTATCAGTTATTGCTTCATATAATGGATTTAGGGGTTGGATTTAAATCTAGATCTCAAGAAACAGGATGGTATGCGCTGTGGGTTTGGAGGAGACAAGTTCTAGGGATTTTTGATATAACTGTGATATGAGTTGAGTGTAACTGTATAAGGATGCAGCGGACAGTCTTTGATGAGAGGAAAAGTATAGACTGGTAGATTAATTGAACTCAGATTTTTGACAAATATAGTAGATGTGTGTGCCTCTGTGGTATTTATCTGCATTTCTTCATTTGTTTCAGGTGGTGATTTTATACACTTTCTTATTTGTGTTTCAGGTGTGGGTTTTATACACTTTTTCTTTAATTGTGTGTGAAGTGTTTTTAGGCTTCTATCAAACTTGAATGAGTTTTTTTTTTTTTTATAAAAATAATTTGGGAATTTCCAAGAAGTTTTTTGAATGCATGTAGGAATTCTTTGTTTTTTTTTTTTTTTTTTTTTTTTTTTTTTGGTTCGGTATGCTGTAACTTTCTAGTACAGAAGTTCTTATATAAATAGGCTCAAAGTGATTAGCAGGTGGATTTGATATTAGAGGGTCAAAAGGAAAAAATGAGGGTGTCAAGAAATGGTTCCAACTTATTAACCTGATGCCCTCAGGTTTGAAGTACACGAATCATACGAGGCAGATACTCTTTTGCCTCTGTACTGTAAATAATCTTAACTATAAGATAAACACGTTCCAACATTACTTCATTACTTGGTCGCTTATAAAACCAACCTAGTCTGGATCTATATGTATATTTTTCTGAGTTGTTTGTCACTCAACTCTCAAGTCAAGAAAGTTGTGTAACTTGTAACAATAGTTCTGCAGGTCTGAAGTCTGAACTCTGCTATTTCTCCAATTTTTCAATATTTTTTTTTTTTTTTCTGAATTGTCGGGCTTGTTTCCCCGAGTTGGTGCTGTAATACGAAAATGGTGACCCTAGACAGACCAGAATGACAAGCTTATCATTCTGAGGCAGTGAGACTGCTTATTTTCTTAATCATTGAATATGTTTAAGTAGTGGTGGATATCTAGCCACCCCAAAATCCAACCACCCACTTGAAAACAATGCTTAATGGGCTAATTATGGCTTAACACGAGTTTGTTAGGAATAAATGACTAATAAAGCAAGGGGTCTTTACTCTTTAGACATTAAGAGCAGTTGGTAAATTTATGCATGACTAAAGAGTCTTTGATGAATTTTAAAAACAATGAGAGGTTCATGAATAAACTGAAAACTTGGGGATGTTTTATAATAAAAACGTAAAACTTTATTATATAAACGTTAAATTAACAAATAATAATAAAAAAAATAAAAATAAAAAATAAAAATAAAAATAAAACCATGAATGCAACATTGAAAATTACAAAAGCGGTGAAAATCAGAATACAACAACTCTGAAGTAAAGCCAAAAGCACACCAGAGAGACATAAACTGCAGGCCACAACTCATTCATCCATCGGATAGGCAAGGTGTGTAAAAAGAAGGTTTCGTGACTTAAACGGCTGGTTGCACTTGCACAGACATGTCGAAAAGAAGATATTAGTTAAGAGGGGGGCCATTAGTGTAATTAATAAGATCATCGGAACTGCACCTAATATAAAAGTGCCAATTTGCAGTGTGAGATCAGTAAAAATCATGCTGAAGGATGCATCAAACGCGATCATCATGAAAAACATGGAAATGGAGAGAAACAAGAGGCCCATCATTAGCTTAAGAGGCAATGAACGGAGGAAGTCTTCCTTTGCGTATGTTGACATAAGGATGGATAAGAACATAAATATTGAAGCAATGGAGGATATCAAGGAGATTGAATCTGATATTACTAGTATCCAATACAGTGCAGAAGATCCCTCGACTTCTTTTGGATCTTTTAATGCAACTTGAAATGCTACACCCGCAATCAGTGTGGCAACGAGACTGCAGGAAGTTGCCGTCTTTCTCATCCATTTTTCACCTTCTCTCCTTAAATTTTCATGCTCTTCATTGAATATTGCTTCTGCTGTTTTCCCAATTTTTCTTGGAAGTTCTTCATTTTGTGGTGGATTAGGAGCTTGGGGATTCACACTGTTATCTTGTGGTGGATTTGGAGTTTCGGGGTTCTCATTATCATTTTGTGGTGGATTTAGAGTTTCCATGTTTATACCTCCATGTTGTGGTTTGTTTGGAACTTCTGTGTTATTATCTTCTTGCCTCGAGCTCTGATCGAAAGTCAACTTCTTTGGCTCATGAACCAGTTGCTCTAGTCTTGGAAACTCTTGGGTTTTATCCATTTTCAAAGAGGGCCGAAATTCTATGTTGCATTTCATGGGTGGATTGAAGATTGGAAGCGATTGGCATACATCACACTTAGGCCCATTTTCACTACTATTTTGGGCGTATGAATCATGGTCCATTTACTTATTATTATTAGCTTAAGTTTTGTAACTTATATTACTGAAATAATGCCAAGAGTTAAACTCTTTGGCTAGTTGTAATAGGAAGAGTTTAGCTCTTCATCATTAGGCTTAATAGAGCATTTAAAGTTAGCTTGAATCAAGGAAAAACCGTTGGCTTTTGGTTCATGAACCTGGACGGTTTCTCCTTGTCTTTTGGTGTACTAATTTGCTGCTCTTTTCCACTATAAAAGGGAGAGCAAACCAGAAATAAAATCAAATCTTGAGTGATACAAAAAATACCCTGAGGTTGCTTAAGCATTATTCTTTGTGTTTGTCCAAAGTTTGAGTGTTGTTCCTTGTTGCTTTGAGTTAGTTCTTGAGTGACAATATTAGGGAGAGATTGAGTGTGTCTTGTCTCTAGCCTAAGATCCCAGAACTTTGAGTGTGTTCTTGAGTTTTGGTCTAACTATCTTGTTTCGTGTAACTTGTGAGTGTTTTTGTTCTCTTGAGTTTAGAATCATCATCCATCTCTTTGGAGGGTGTTTTTAGACTTACATCATCTGGTATCAGAGCCTAGGTAAGGGTTTTCTTGAAGAAAATCGAGTTTGAGGGCGTTTGGAGCAAATCGGCAGAATTCGATCAGTTTGGAGTTACGGATTGTAAAAGCCATATCTCCTTCGTTTTCTGTCCAAATTGAGTGATTCTTTTTTTGAATCTGGATATTTTTTTGTGTAGAATACTCACAAAAATTTTCAGATTTTTTGAATTTTTTCTGCTAATAAACTGGGCAGGTTTTTCGAAGCAGCGCAGAAAAGAAACAAATCTGGGAAGGCAGAATTCAATTGAAGATTTCTCCCTCATCCGAAAAGCTTTTGAGGAGTTTCTTTTCTTAAAATTGGTTGTTTTGATCTGAATTTTCTGAATTTGTAAACCTTTGAGAGTCTCGAGGCAATTTTCGTTTTGCATTTTGTCTCTAATTTCGGCATTTTTCACTCATTGTACTTGTAATAGCCTAGCAAAAATAGTGGAAATCATGGCTAGTGAGGAGCTTGCTAGAATGTTGCAAGTAATCACTGAAAAATTGGAGTTTGGAGAAAAAAACAGAAGAAAGTGAGGAGGAGAAGGCTAGGCAAAATTCTAGGATGGATACAATTGCCGATATGGTGTTGCAAACAACTAGAAAACTGAACGAGTTAGAAAATGAGGATGTGGGTAGTGGAAACAACTTTAGGCAATCTGATGAAGATAGGGGGCTTAAGATTGACCTACAAGAGTTTGATGGGGGACATGATAGTGAGGCCTTTTTAGATTGGGTGAGGCAAATTGAAACTGTTTTTGAGTATAAGGGGTTTAATGATAAAAAAAGGTTCAAATTGTCTGTTCTAAAACTCATTAAACTTGCTGCCCTATGGTATGAAAACCTCAAGGCAAATAGAAGAAGAGAGGGAAAAGAAAAAATTGACTGATGGGAGAAGTTGAAAAAGAAGATGAGGGAAAAATGGGTAAATAGGGAGTATGAACAAGAGCAATACCTAAAATTAACCCATCTATCCCAAGAAAACATGAGTGTAGAAGATTACATTAAGGAGTTTGAAAAGTTGTGTTTGGTGTGTGACTTGCAAGAGAAGGAGACCTTCAAAATGGCTCGTTTTGTAAAAGGTCTTTCTAAGAGTATTAGCCAAAAGGTGGAAGTGACTCACTATACCACTTTTAGTGATGTTTGCAAGTTGGCTATTCGTTACAAAACTCAATTGAAAGAAGAGAAACCCAAAACTTCTTCTTTCAAAAGTCCTATGAAATTTACTCCTACTTACTCAAAGGGGAGTACATTTCAAAACAAAATAGGTGGTTCCTTTCACAATAAGTCTTCTTCTTCTAGTTCTAAGTTTGATAAAGGGAAGGAAAAGACCGTAATTTCACCTAGTGAACTTGCTACAAGGAGGAAGTGTTTTAAATGTCATGGTAGAGGTCATATATCATCCGAGTGTCCTAGCAAAATTGTGTTGATTGCCGCACAATATGCAATGTTTGATGAGGAAGAAAATCTTTATAATTTTGTTACACAAGAGGAAAACGAAGAGTTTGATGAAGACTATGATGAAGAGATTCCTCCAGAAAATGAGTTCAACATGATGGTTGTTAGAAAGGTATTGTTTAGTGAGCCTCAAGTTGATGAAAGGCAAAGAAACAACTTGTTTTGTACTAGATGCAAGATTGGAGAGAAGACTTGCAATGTGATTGTTGATGGAGGAACACAAACGGATGTTGTCTCATCGGAAGTCGTGAGTAAGTTGAAGCTTACCACTAGAGATCATGAGGAGCCTTACAAGCTCAATTGGTTGAATGATGGCAATCGTATTAGGGTAAAGAAGCAAGCTTTGGTTTCTTACTCTATTGGAAACTTTGAAGATGAGAGATGGTGCGACG